TGACCCCTGAGTGACCACTGAGTGATCCTGAGTGACCACTGACCCCTGAGTGATTCTGAGTGACTCGAGTGACCCCTGAGTGACCGCTGAATGACCCCTGACTGACCCCTGACTGACCCCAATGACCCCTGAGTGACCAATGAGTGACCCCAATGACTGGAGTGACTGCTAAGTGACCCCTGAGTGACCAATGAGTGACCAGAGTGACCCCCCCAGGTGCCAAGCTCTGCGACGTCTACGCCGCCGTCATGGACGTGGTCAAGAAGCAGCGGCCGGAGCTGCTGGGCAAGATCACCAAGAATTTGGGGTGAGAACGGCCGGGTTTGGGGCTCGGGGGTCACCCTGGGGTCACTCAGGGGTCACTCAGGGGTCACTCTGGTCACTTCTGGGGTCACCTTTGGGCTCGCCCAGGTTCGCCATGGGCATCGAGTTCCGCGAGGGCTCCCTGGTCATCAACAGCAAAAACCAGCAGCGCCTCAAGAAGGGTGAGAGCCACAAAATCCACCCGAAATTCCCTTTTTTCCCCACAAAAAATTTTTTTTTTTTGATTTATTGGGGTTTTTTTGTTTTTTTACCGAAACCTTGCGTTTTCTCCCCGTCCCAGGGATGGTTTTCAGCATCAACGTGGGGCTCTCGGAGCTGCCCAACAAGGAGGGGAAGCGGCCGGAGGAGCGGACGTATGCGCTCTTCATCGGCGACACCGTCATGGTGGACGAGGTGGGCGGGGCCGCTGCCGGCCAATCTGAGGGGCTCTGACCCCGCACCGACCAATCGCGGCCTCGCTTCTCCTCCCCTTGGCCAATCGCAGCCTCCCTCCCCTCAGGAGATGGCTCCTCCTCTCCTGCTCCTCAGCCAATCACGGCCTTGCTCCTCTCAGCCAATCGCATCCTTGCTCCCCTCAGGAAATGGCTCCTCCCCTTGCGCCCTTCAGCCAATCACGTCTTCCTTCCCCTTGGCCAATCACAGCCTCCCTCCCCTCAGGAAATGTCTCCTTCCCTCCTGCTGCTCAGCCAATCACGTCCTCCCTCCCCTTGGCCAATCACGGCCTCCTTCCCCTCAGGATATGGCTCCTCCCCTCCCGCCCCTCAGCCAATCACGTCCTCCCTCCCCTTGGCCAATCACATCCTCCCTCCCCTTGGCCAATCACGGCCTCCTTCCCCTCAGGATATGGCTCCTCCCCTCCCGCCCCTCAGCCAATCAGGTTTCCCCTTCCCGTCCCCTTTTAACCAATCACGTCGCTCCGTGCCCTTTGGCGCCCCCCTGCAGGACGGCCCGGCCGTGGTGCTGACGTCCGTCAAGAAGAAGGTGAAGAACGTCGGGATTTTCCTCAAGGTGAGCCCGGATTTGGGCCCAAACCGCGGCTTTTTGGGAAAAAAAAACCCCGGCGGGGGCTGGGAGGAGCCGATGCGGGGGGGGTTCTCCTCAGGATTTGGGGATTTTGGTTCATTTTGGGGGATTTTGGGGGGCGTTTTCCCGCCCGTCACGGGGTGGAATTTGGGGCCTTTTCGCTGGAATCTCTGGGAATCCGGGCGGGTTTGGGTCGGATCTGGGGATTCTGTGGGTTCTGTGCCCGAATCCCGTGAATTCTCTGCCCGAATTTCCCCGTTTCCGTCCCCAGAACGAGGATGAGGACGAGGAGGAGCCGGACAAGGACGCGGCCGAGGATCTCTTGGGCCGCAGCTCCCGCGCCGCCCTGCTGACCGAGCGCACGCGGGTGGGTGACCACAGTGACCACACTGACCCCTCACTGACCATCACTGACCATCACTGACCCCTCACTGACCCCGCTGTCCCCAGAACGAGCTGACGGCCGAGGAGAAGCGCCGGGCGCACCAGAAGGAATTGGCCACGCAGCTCAACGAGGACGCGCGGCGCCGCCTCACCGAGCAGAGGGGAGAGCAGCAGACGCAAAAGTAGGGAAATTCCCCCCCAAAAAATGAGGGAAATCGCCCCAAAGCTGGGCTGAGAGTACCGGGACCCGCCCCGATCCACACCCGAAAGTATCAGGGAGCACCCCAGAACTGACCCAGTTCGCAATTCCTGCTCCAATTCCTGTCCCAAATACCCCAATTCCTGCTCCAATTCCTGCCCCCAAATGCCCCAATTCCTGTCCCAAATGCCCCAATTCCTGTCCCAATTCCTGCCCCCAAATGCCCCAATTCCTGTCCCAAATGCCCCAATTCCTGTCCCAATTCCTGCTCCAATTCGTGTCCCAATTCCTGTCCCAAATACCCTAATTCGTGTCCCAATTCCTGTCCCAATTCCTGCTCCAATTCCTGTCCCAATTCCTGTCCCAAATACCCCAATTCCTGCCCCCATTCCTGCCCCAATTTTGCCCTGATTTTTTCCCCAGTTCCCTCAGTTTCTGCCCCAGTTCCTGCCCCAATTCCCCAAATCCTCATTTTTTCCCCCAAATCCTTTTTTCCCCCCCCGTTTCCCAGGGCCCGCAAGTCGAACGTGTCCAACAATTCCTGCCCTGATTTTGCCCTGATTTTTTTCCCCAATTCCCTCAGTTTCTGCCCCAATTCCTGCCCCAATTCCTGCCCCAATTCCTGCCCCAAATGCCCCAAATCCTTTTTTCTTTCCCCCCCGTTTCCCCAAGGCCCGCAAGTCGAACGTGTCCAACAATTCCTGCCCTGATTTTTTCCCCAATTCCCTCAGTTTCTGCCCCGATTCCTGCCCCAACTCCTGCCCTGACTTTTTCCCCAGTTCTGCCCTGTTTTTTTCCCCAATTCCCTCAGTTTCTGCCCCGATTCCTGCCCCGATTCCTGCCCCAATTCCTGCCCCAATTCCTGCCCCAAATGCCCCAAATCCTTTTTTTCCCCCCCGTTTCCCCAGGGCCCGCAAGTCGAACGTGTCCAACAATTCCTGCCCTGATTTTGCCCTGATTTTTTCCCCAGATCCCTGAGTTTCTACCCCGATTCCTGCCCCAATTCCTGCCCCAATTCCTGCCCCAAATGCCCCAAATCCTTTTTTCTTTCCCCAGGGCCCGCAAGTCGAACGTGTCGTACAAGAGCGCGGCGCTGCTGCCCAAGGAGCCGCACGTGCGCGAGATGAAGATCTACATCGACAAGAAGTACGAGAGCGTCATCATGCCCGTGTTCGGCATCGCCACGCCCTTCCACATCGCCACCATCAAGGTGGGCTGGCCCCCAGCGGCCCGGGGAGCCCCGGCCCGGGGGTTCTGGGGGGTCCTGGGTGGGTCCTGGGTGGGTCTGGGTGGGTTCTGG